AAATTATCAGACCAGTTATCCCATCTTGAGAGCTGGCAGCCCATCACCACTCAAACTCAAAGGAAACCTATACCCCACATAGCAGAGGATCTGTGCAGTGCACTAAAAGTAGCACTAGAGAAAGATAAGTGGTTCCAAGCCCATCAAATGAATGCATGCTATGGGGCAGCTTAGCCTGGTTAGGAGCCAAACTCTGTGTCCCAGAGAGTAAATGCATAGTAGTTCTCTAAAAAAGTCACAACTCAAAATTGGCTAGGCGCTTTGGCTTTGTAAAAACCCTACACCTTGTGAAATATCAGTTTTAGTGGCTATCACTAAAAAGGAATAGAGAGCTACCTAGCGAGCTGCTCCATCTGTGCTCCACAAAAAGGCACCAAGGGAAAACGCTAGAACTCCTCCAGCTGGTGGCAGAGCCTAAAGAGCCATGGAAAGAAATTTCCGTAGACTTTATAGTGAAGTTATTGGAAAGTTTGGGGAACACTGTGATTTGGATGATAGCTGAGTTTTTCTCTAAATAGATACATTTTATACTATGCTAAAAAAAATCCTCTCAGCATGCACCTTTCCTAAATTATTAATTCAATGCATATACATGCTCCATCGGGTGCCAGAGACAATCATACCAGATTGCAGCATTTAATTCATATCATACCATATCCTTTTGGCTATAGTATACACTTCCTCTTTCGTTGGGTCTCCCTTGAAAACAATTTATATCCTTCTAGTGGTATGTTCCAATCATGGATTCCATCCCACTAGGTTTTAGTAATGGCAATAATATTGTAACTGCTCTCACAGACTGTCTCATCTCCATTTTAAGGCTATTGAGCCAGTACTGTCCAAAACTGTTTCTGTGATCATGTAACCAGACTGAAAACATGGAACACTGTTATCTTTCCCATTGAAGTGGTACTTATTTATCTACTCACATTTCCATGCTTTCAAACTGCTAGGTTGGCAGCAACTGGGGTGAGAATGGAATATCACTCATTGGCTTTCTAGCTGATAAACCAAGTGTCCTAACCACTGAGTCAGTACATCACCCAATATCTCAACAGTTAAGATTTTGGGCTTGGCTGGAAAGCCAACAGCCCAGGTTCGAGACCTGAGCACTGTGTGACAGGGTGACTCCCATTCTTGCCCCAACCTAGAGTTTGAAAGCATGCATGCAAATGAGAATAGATAAATAGGTGCCACTTTAAAGGGAAATGTAACAGTGCTCTGTGATGTCATGCTGGCCACATGACTGTGGAAACATCTTCAGATAATGCTGGCTCAATGGCCTTGAAATAGAAATGAGCACTGCCCATTATAGTTGGCTATGATTAACAGAGTAAAATCCACAAGGACTCCTTTACCTCATATACAAGTTCACCCTGTTTGTTTGCCATACTTTGAGCATTAGTGTATAGGCATCTGACCCCTTTATGCCTGATTTTGCATTTGCTTCCTATGTTAGATTGATCTCCTAAAGATTGATTCCCCCCCCTTCTATTTTTAGACTAAATCCCTCCAGATGAGTTGTGACAGTTGTTTTCCAAACACATTTTTCCCAGTTATTGTGAGGTGTAGCTCATCTCCTGCCAGAAATCCTTTTTGTATGTAATGTAGATCATGGTCTGGGAATCCAAAGTTTTCTCAATGAAATCATCCCTTAAGCCAGTGGTTTACTTCTAAAATCCTCCATTCCCTCATTGAATGTTGACTTCTGTTGTATAGATGAGTCTCTTGACATTGTTTTCAGTCTCCTGGTTATATTATTCATCTTCACATGAAAGAGTAGTCAAAATGGGCTTGAGTATTTTGGTAAGCCTCTCTATCACATCTTTGATCTCTGCTCCTGGAAGACAACTTTTTGTGTACATCCCTCTTTTCCAGTCTTCTGTAGTTCCCCTGTGCTACAAGAACTTTGAAAGATTGCATTCAGTGGTTCCAAGTTCACATTTGCCAGCTTCTTTAGAACTCTGGGATGAAAACCGTCTGACCCAGGTGATTTTTACCCATGAGAGGTGACCCTTGAGGAATTTGAATGGAATCAGTCTGAAGTGAAAAGGCAACAGCTGAAAAAATACTTAGTGTATTTTCTTTTCCAGTTCTTATTTCAGATCTTCTTTGCACAAGTAACCTTTCTTTAAAAGGAGAACTGCTAGAGTTTAGCTATCTATGCTAAATGGATTCATAACTGGCTGACCAACCGCACTCAACATGTAGTCCTCAATGGAATTGCATCTACATGGAGAGAAGTATGCAGTGGAATACACCAAGCCTCTGTTTTAGGCCCAGTACTCTTCAACATCTTCATCAATGACTTGGAGGGGGAGGGGGATAGATGCAGTGGTGGGATTCAATTTTTTTTTACCACCGGTTCTGTGGGCTTGGCTTGCTGTGACTGGGTGGGCATGGCTGGGTGGGCATGTCCTGGGTGTGGCCAACTCAATGTCACTTATGCCTGGCCCCTCCCCTCCCAGCCATTCCTTGTCACACCCAACCTCAATGTACTGTATTTTTTGGAGTATAAGACACATTTTTTTTCTCAAAAAAGAGGGTGAAAATCTGAGTGCGTCTTATACATCGAATACAGCATTTTTTGCCTCCTGAAGCCCCACCCCCTCACCAAAATGGCTATGCGTAGCCTTAAGGAGAGAGCTTTCAGAGAGCTCCTAGGGACTGGGGAGGGCAGAAATGAGCAAAAAATGGGCCATTTTTTGTCCCCCCAGCCCCCAGCAGTACTCTATAAGCCTCCATAATAAAGCAGACATAAAGTGAAATTTGGACATTAAGTGTGAAACCTACTGGGTCAGGCTGGACAGACTCTTAG